TTTAGGCGATATGCTTTCCAGCAAAATTATCGATAATTTTTAAGCACTTGTGTAATTACTTACCCCCGACAACAAAATGGTTAAAGTTGATATTTATAACGATAAATTTAAAAAACTATTTAAAAATTAATGTATTAAAAAGATTTTTTTGTACTGTGTTGCCATTTAAAAAAATTGGGTTGAGGTGGCTACAACCCCAGGGACTGCTTAGTGAAGGTCTTCACATATCCTAGAAATGGTTTGGAAAATTTTTGATTTTTGTTTAGCTCCAGACTTAGGCCTGTCTGTTTTGCAACTTACTTCCATCTGGAGCAAAATTAAAGGACTTTATATAAAGTTTACAGAAGACACGGATACGAAGTACCTATAGGTACTATATATATATATATATATATATATATATATATATATATATATATATATATATATATATATATATATATACGAAGTACCTATAGGTACTATAGTAGTGCACAAAGCAGTCTCCTTCATACGAAGCAATTTTCTCATTTATCATCACATTAAAAAACTTCTGTATAAAATAATAAAATTGTTTTTATTTAAATATTACTTATGTATGTCGTTCTACATTTAATTTCATTTAAAAATTTAAATTCAATTTTAACTGTATTAGTCATTAATGTGATTTAATTTTATTACCCTAGTTGATATTATCTATAGATATATTAAGGTGGCCAGAACTCAATTTTAATTTTTATTTTGGGTGTAGTTTTAATTTTAGCATAAATGAATACAATTTATACTTTATAATAAAAAGTTATTATTTATATGCTTATGTTTTGTTCTGTTTTGGAGTTTTACTCTGTTATTCAAATAAATGATTAATATTGTTGTTGTTATTATTATTATTATTATTTGTACCTACACACGTTTTAATTTTGATTTTAAATTGTCGAAATTTCAAAAACTTATGTAATTAGCCGAACTAAAATTAAATTTTAACTTTGTTAGCAACTAATGCGATTTAATTAAAATGTTATAACGTTACCTTTGAAATAGCACTAATTAACGGAATTTAGAGAATGTACGAGTTAATTTTATGAAGTGGATTTTCGATAAACTTTATAAAAAATTGTCTGTATATTACGCAGTTTTACAGATAAAGTTCTTAGGATTAAATAAAAATTAACAGGCTGATAATAAATGAGTTTAAACAATAATCTTACTGTTTACGCCGGCCGTAAATCAAAGTTCCATAAAATTACAATTATTGTTTGTTATTACGATTTGTTTGTGAAATATCCGAAATTATTATAATTTTAACTATAGTAATCTTAAGATTTTGTTTGTTTTTAAAATTACAGTTTATAATCGTTATAATAATTATTTATCTTCAATCGGTATATGGTCCAGGCACTTAAAAATGAATTAGACCAATCGGGATAGGTTATTTATGGCGAAGACCGAAAAAATTAATTATTTACTTACTATGAATCAATAAAAAAATTCAACTTTTGTCATATCTAACCTTAAACGTGGTCATACCCCCAAGTAGAACACTTTTATTGGCCCAATATTCTATAAATATTCGTATCAGATTGGTAAAATATTGTTTTGCTAATATATACCCAATAAGTAAATGTGAACATTTGTCTATATTGGTGCAATAATAATTTCTAATATTGCTTTAATAATGTGTTAAACATATTGAACCAAAATAGTCCAGTTTACTTAGTTAAATATTTGTGTGTAATATTAAAGAAATAAGCAAAGAACTATATTACATCAATATATTTTACGTATTTTGTGTCAATATTATTAATTATTTATAGCATTAATATTACATTACTAATATTGGAGATATGTTGAAAACGGTATAACAAAGTAATATTTATTCGTTACATATTTTTCATATATATATATATATTCCCCAGTAGCACAAAGATATTGGTCCAATATTGAAACCCAACATTGGCCCGAAGTTGTTTGACATTATATAACCGATATTGGAAATCCATATTGGCCCGAAGTTGTTTTACATTATATAACCCATATTGAAAATCCGCATTGGCCCAATATTTGTTTAACCTTAAATTTTAAATTTTATAAAAAGCTTTTGCTAAAAGTAAGTAGTGGGACCCACTGCTTACTTTTGGCAGAGTGGGCCACAGGACCAGCTGTGTCCCTTCAAAACTTACAAGCAGAAGCGGTATGGTCAGTAATTTTGCCTTAGTAAGAAATTCTAACTTAACAGCTTAAGGCATTCCACCTTTATAGGAGTATCTATTGTGCTACAGAGGCGAGAGGTATGCATGGGTTGCCTACATATTGGCGAATTTTGAAACATTTGAAACAATATGGGGCCAACATAGCACACACATCGACTATGATATATTGGATAATCATGTTACGCCAATATAGGGCCAACCTTGAATAAATATTTTTAATGATATATTGGCGTAAAATGATATGCCAATATAGGACCAACCTTGGATAAATATTTTTAATGATATATTTACTTAAACTGATATGCCAATATTGGACCGATCTTGGATAAATATGTTTAATGATATATTGGCGTAAAATGATATGCCAATATAGGACCAACATTGGATAAACATTGGCAAGATATATTAAATAACCATTTTATGCCAATATAGGGCCAACATCGGCTAAATAAATCCAATATTGGTCCCAGATAAAATATTGGGCATATATGCGCCCCATATAGGACCAATATTTTGTGCTACTGGGGTTATTATTATATATTATATAATATATTGGTGCAATATTAATTTCTAATATTGCTTTAATGATTTGTTAAACATATTGAACCAAAATAGTCCAGTTTACTTGGTTAAATATTTGTATGTAATATTGAAGAAATACGCAAAGAACTATATTACAACAATATATTTTACGTATTTTGTGTCAATATTATTAATTATTTATAGAATTAATATTACATGACTAATATTGGAGATATGTTGAAAAAGGTATAACAGGTATAACAATGTAATATTTAGTAATATAACATATTCAATATATATTGGAGAAGTATAACTAAACAGCATTAAAAACCCTTATGTTAGCCAATAAATTGCCAATATGCTATATTAATATTGCTTGAATATAGTAATTATCTATTTAACCAATATTCGTTTCCTATATAAATATGTGTGCAATAATATACCGACAACATGCCAATACGAATTTTAAACATTGGTAAGAAATAAAAAAGCTGTCCTTAGTGCAATATTGCATTTTAAGTAATACATAATATAACATATTTAATATATATTGGAGAAGTATTAACTAAACAGCATTAAAACCCCTTATGTTAGCCAATAAATTGCCAATATGCTATATTAATATTGCTTGAATATAGTAATTATCTATTTAACCAATATTCGTTTCCTATATAAATATTTGTGCAATAATATACCGACAACATTCCAATATGAATTTTAAACATTGGTAAGAAATAAAAAAGCTGTCCTTAGTGCAATATTGCATTTTAAGTAATACATAATATAACATATTTAATATATATTGGAGAAGTATTAACTAAACAGCATTAAAAACCCTTATGTTAGCCAATAAATTGCCAATATGCTATATTAATATTGCTTGAATATAGTAATTATCTATTTAACCAATATTCGTTTCCTATATAAATATGTGTGCAATAATATACCGACAACATGCCAATATGAATTTTAAACATTGGTAAGAAATAAAAAAGCTGTCCTTAGTGCAATATTGCATTTTAAGTAATACATAATATAACATATTTAATATATATTGGAGAAGTATTAACTAAACAGCATTAAAAACCCTTATGTTAGCCAATAAATTGCCAATATGCTATATTAATATTGCTTGAATACAGTAATTATCTATTTACCCAATATTCGTTTCCTATATAAATATGTGTGCAATAATATACCGACAACATGCCAATATGATTTTTAAACATTGGCAAGAAATAAAAAAGCTGACCTTGGTGCAATATTGTATTTCAGATAAAATATAAAATAACATATTTAAAATATATTGGAGAAATATACAAATAAACATTATTCAAAACCCTTTTGTTAGCCAATAATTCGCCAATATTAAAAACGCAATGGTAATAGAAAAATATTGAGCCAATATTTAGCCAACGGTTAGCCAATATTATGTTCTACTTGGGCCCAATCAAAAGTAGATTGCGTTCATAGCGTTATCAGCATTACATTATAAAAAAAACACAGAAAACAAAAAAAAAACAACTGGAATAACATAAAAATCATCAAAACTTCCCTGGATCATCCCGATTGTATCTCAATAAAATAACTAAAAACAAGACTCATTTAACCTTTTAAATCTGCTAAAGAAGGGTAAAATAAACTAATTAGGGGACATCCATTAATTACGAAGATAAAAATGGTGGGTCTATCAAAATCTTACCAAATCTCATTTTTTAATTTTTTGGGATTTATTATGTTGTCCGCAAAGAAACTTTCATGTCTCGAAACTCAGTTGAGGGATTGGGGGGTCTACCACATCTCACCAAGAGGGAGGGGGTCCAAATTATCAGCTATTCATCCACTCAGTGCCGACTCCAAACATTTCGGTGTCCCTTGCAAATGTTATTTTTGCCACAAGACTATAATTCAGGAAGTTTAGCAGTTTAAAGTGTGCATTTTTAACACATAATTTTCACTGCGTTGTTATTTGTCTATATAATATTGACTTTAAATGCACAAAAATAAAACTTTTGAAAAATTAAATGAAAAAAATATTTAAATGAAAAATAAAATAAAAAGTTTTTCATTTTACAAAATAAAATTTCTTCTAAAATTATACTATTAGTATTATTTCTATGATTATTCCGTATATTCCGTATATTAAGACAGAGTAATAGAATAAGTAAGGTTAAGTTTGTAAATTATATTCACAAGTCACTTGTTTTTTTATGTTTCTTTTTCAATAATCAAAAATGACCTCTAACGAAGAAAAACCTATTTTTAAATATAAAGGGACTTTGCGTTATCATGGATGCCACAGAAGTCACTGGTAACATAGGAAAATTCTCTCAAACCCCCTTAGCAAGGGAATTATATAAATTAAAACTCAAAGACATCCATACAATCAAAATTAAAGGTGCCAATCGAGTTTGCGTAGAATTCCAAAAATATGAATTGGCAAACAAATTTGTTGAAAATAAAACTCTGATCGAGAGGGTATCGAGTTGGGGATCGCCAAGAAATAATGATAAGTCCCTATTCTCTATAATAAACCAAGAATCCTTAGGTCCCCTAGATATAAATGATACTGCTGCAAACTTTGCATCATTTAAAATTATTCAAGATAGCAGTTATAGTGATCAACATCTCAAAAGATATCTTAAAAAAGAAATTACAAGAAGGCAGATTGGATAAGTTACTCCAATAAAATACTGGTATATTTCTATAGAAATACTCTTAAAGCCTTCAACGACAATAAAATACCAATATTTTGTAGAAACAACAAACGAAGCGGTGGAACTTTTTATCCCCAGAAAAATATACTCAACCTATAGGTATACCAAAGACCAAAAGTTCCATGATGGGACAAAACATGTCAGGAAGCTCTTTTGAAAAGAAAGGCAGCCATTGAAACATTCAGAAAACAATCATTGCTAGAAAATTATATAAATATAAAAAAAAATCATTGCAAAATAACTTTTATGCACAAGAAAAAAGAAAGGTTTACAAATACGAGTACAAAACAATAATGTTGCTCAATAATAATAATTTGTTAGTTCTAGCTTGTCCTTTAAATCAAAATATTAAATTAATACATACAGCCTGTTCAGAATAAAACCGAATATATCTATATATATATATATGGGGCGTGGCCTCGCCTCCCTCCAAGGCGCTTCACAGTTGCTTGTGTGATAAACGACATGACGAAAGGTCGAGCAGGTAAGGACTTAAAAAATTAAATGATAATAATGCAAAAAATCTCATTAGCGATGCAGTGTATTTGCTTAGCTACTGTGTCGTGCGTTGGAGAGAGGCGAGGCCACGCCCCATATATATATAGATATATTCGGTTTTAGTCTGAACGAGCTGTATATGTATTTATATATAAATCATTACATTCGAACCATTTGGTTTTTATGGCAGCTAGGGTTTGGTAAAGAAATATACATCATTACGTTTTTTAAATGCAAATCTTTAAAAATGGCTAAACAAAATATTAGCATATTATATGTACAAGGTGTTTCATTAAAGATTTGTATTTTTTACTAACCTTGTGATATTTATTTTACGTAATATTTTCTGTCGATTTAGAACAAACCCTACCATGGTAGGTGCACTTTGTATTTTTAAAGTTTTTTTCTATCTCTTATAATAAATGTATTGATCTCCTCGCAATCGAATTCTGAATTTTTTTTCTTTTGCCTGTGAATCTAAATCGCTTTTTCTCGAATCCCTGTGGTTTGAAAACTGATAAAGGAGGAAAGTCAAAATTTTTACTCTTTTTTGTCTCAACACTGAAAGAAATATATACTAAAGTTAAATAAAAAAATAATTAGGGCAAATATATTTTATGTTTCATATATAGACTACCACATACATTGCTAAAACAAATATATTCGTTTGGTTAGCAGCCTATTGCTGCCCTAGCAATATAAATGGTGTTTCTAGCAATATTTTTTTGCTGTAATTCACTTATAGTTTACATTTTATAGTAAGGGTAAGTTTATTTTTATTTAGATCTAACATATCTTCTTTACAATAAATGTATTACAAAATTTACCATACATTCATAATAAACAGTAGTATAAATGTGTAAAGCACTAGTATAAAATTTTTAGTATAAATTTGTATTTACTTTTAGCAACAAATTTCTTTCAGTGAACCGTTTAATTTTGGCTGTTTACCGAAAATCAAAATTTCGGTGAAGTTTGCTTCGGGGCGGTCATTAACTTTTGTTCCTTCAAAATGTATCGGATCTGTTAAAAACTTTTAAAAAGAAAATTGGGCAAACAAAAAACACAAATTAAAGGGTAAAATAATTTTAACCTATTAAAAGGTAATAATCATCAAATTAAAACAACATGGCCAGTCATTTTTTTTATCATTAAAAAAATACTTAATCGGTTTAAATAACTGAAATATTTTTTACCGAAAATGGTAACGAAATTCAAAATAATTTCTTGTTCTTCTGCTATTTATTTTATAGGAAAAAGTTAATTATTAAAATACGTTTATAATTAACATCTTTATAAAATAACAAGAACTTTTTTTGAAATTTTTCTTGACGGATCGATTTTTAATCAGCTTTTAAATTATCACTCCCAAACCGTAACTACTATAAATTATAAATCGGAAAATTGTGACCTGGCATTTGATTAAATTTTATACGATAAAAAGCCAATTAAAAAATGGTCAAACTTCGGGGTATTCGGAATACCGTATTACTCTACTTTTGCTGTTTAGTTTACAAAAAAGATAATTAAAAGTATATAATAGCAAAGACAAACATTACTAGAAATAATAGTAATTAAATAAATATACCTAAGTAAGAGCAAAACAAATACAAACTAAATAAAAATACAATTACAAAAAAACAATTAAGTTAATCTGTTTTGACAATTTATTAAAAATACCTAAGCATTATCGATGTCTTGTGGAATCTTAACGATCGTTTTGCCTTTGATATGGAATATAAATTTTAAAATTGATAAAGCAGTTTTCAACAGGTGTATTTGCAATTACGCGCAAATGGTTACGTACATGTCTATAATCGCTTATGTCAACCAGCTTATTCCAACTATCAACAGATCATTCCTTTTAATTTATTTTCATGTTCTCTATCCACCAGACCTCGTTCGTTTATTTACTTTGGTTTCTTATTGAAATTCTTTGGCGAAAGAAGAAGCAGGTGTCCCGGTAATTAGTATTAATTTACGTTAAACGCTGCAATTAATTTTAACATTTACTTATTATTATAAATGAATAAATATTTAACCATTAATATTTCATTGTAAAACGGTGGGTGATAATAATAATTTTTTGTCGTTTTAATAATTTACCTACTTTCTATTAATAGAAATATGCGAGGATTTAATATTAAAAACACTATAAAGTATACAAACTAAGTCATAAATACCAACAATTATATATAATTATACTTATCTACACTTCTAAATAAAATTGCTGATCTACAAAACGGCTGAATCGATTTCATAGAGTAAAGAGTAGAGGACTTTTCAGAGAGCAATATAGGCTATTTTTTGTACTTGTTTGGTTTTCGTTAATTGTTATTGTATGCTTTAATTTTTTTTGTTGATAGAAGTCGATGTACAGTGAGCGCGTTAAAAACCCCCCCGCCTGTTAACTTTTGAACCAAAAAAGATATCGATGTCGGACAAAGACCAGGGTAAACAGTATTGTGTATCGGTGGATTGGTAGGCGTGGTCCTACCGAATGGCCGGCTCGTTCTCCCGATTTAACGCCACTTGACTTTTTGTGGGGATATTTAAAATCGAAGGTCTACATTACAGAACCGGAAACCATAGATGATCCTAAACACCGGTTTGGGCGTGAATGTGCTAGTATTACGCAAGAAACTTTTGCTAATGTTAGAAATGAATTTGAAGATAGGCTATTTGTGTGTCAAGCTGTCCAAGGGGAACATTTCGAATATCTAATTTAAATTTTTGAAAAGAAATATTAAAAATTTAAAATGATATTAAATCTGTAATATTTGGATTTTTTAAATGAAATTTTAAATTTGTCGATAAATTATGGTAAATAATAAATTGCACCAAATTAAATTTATATTATATTTATTGGGGGTGCCATGGGGCCGGTACGGCCGAGCAAAAATTTATTTTTTTTATCGCAAACTTCAAATTAAATTCTGCTTGCGCAGAACTTGTTTATTTAATATCATTATAAACTCGTATAAATTTGGTGTGGGTCCCATATCTAATAATTGAGATATCATTATACCCAAAATCCACCAGCCGCCACTGGAGCAGAGCCAGGAAAATCCTCATTTTTTTATTTTTTGATTTTTACAAGAAAAAATTGTTTGTTTGGTATTTTGAATTCCCAATACTTTTTATTTTTTTTCTTTATATTCCAATCTATTTCTGTAAAGCGGGATGACAGCTAGTTAATAATAAATTTGAACACTTCTGTGGGTAAAAGGCATAAGGGGATAAGTCAAAAAAAGGATTTTTTCAATAGAGCCTTTAACGCATTAATTCAGGAAATATATTTAGGTTTAGCGGGTATACGCTTTTGTTAGCATATGACATGTGGTAACAAAAGGGTATACCCGCTAACCATAAATATGTTTCCTGAATTAATGGGAATACGTTTAAGACTCTACTGAAAAAATGCTTTTTTTGACTTATCCCCTTATGCCTTTTACCCACAGACTTTTAATATTGCATTTAGCGTCATGAAAATATATAGTGTTTATTGAACCAAATTTTTCCTACTGACTTGCGCCGAAGAGTGGTGGGAAGTATAAAAAATACTCACAACCAAACTTATATGGAATCACCTAGTAGTTACGAGAAACATTATTTCACTTAAAAAAATTGATTTGGAAATAAAAAGCACTTTATCTGAACCAATTTTATTACAAAACAAAGAAAAATTTATTAAAACAAATTTTCTAAAGAACGGGTTACAAAAAATGCGAATTTCTCTGAGAATAAACTTTACAATAAATTATATTTTAGGAATTTTTTTTTTTATTAATTTAATCATCAGTGTTTCCATCTCTAACCTCAATGCCAGCACGAATTCGACGAGGCATGCTTTTTATTAAGTTATTTATTTCTTTTTGTTGAACTTTCCGTGATTTATATAGGATAATGTACATCCTTTTAACAGCAGGGTTCCAAAAATTGTTTGAAATGGAGGTGCGTTTTAGAGTGGCCTTCTTGTTCACCGCATCTTAATTGAATGAAGAAGTTAATAAAAGCAAAAGCCAAGAAGAAATTCATAACTTAATAGAAACAATGCTCCGTCGAATTAATGCTTGCATTGATACTGGAGGTGGCAATACTAATTATTTAATTAACAAAAACCTATTATTTCATCTTATATTATGGAGTATGAGGCAATTGTAGTTGACACCCAATTGTCAGATCATAGAGCACAAAAGATAACGTTTAAAGTAAAGAAAAAGACACAAAATAAATTAATATACAGAAGACAATTTACTGCAAACAATAAAGAAAACTTTAGAAACAAGCTGAAAGATTGCTCTTGGTTACCTGTTTACTCAATTAATATAAAAAACATTGATGAACAGTGGTCAAGTTTTATTAATATTTTTTTACCTTTGTTTAATGAATGCTTTCCAAAAAAACTACTAAAAATTGGTAAACATAACTCTGTAAAATATGGTAATGATCAAACTGTGATAAATTTAAAAAATAGGCTAGATATATTGTATGTACTCAGTAACTGTGATATTAACTATAAGGAAGAATATAACCTCACGAAAAAAATTACAATAATGCTTTAATTAATGCTAAGAAAAAACATTTAAGTCAAAAAATAATAAATTCAGACAACAAAAGTAAAGAGGTGTGAAACGTGGTTAAAAATATTAAGGGATCCAATAATAGAGCATTTGGAATTAAAGGTGAACCAGAAAAAATTTGTAATGATTTTAACAATTTTTTATTGGAAGCGGCTCCAAATTTATTAAATGATATAAAGAATACAAATTACAACTGTGATATTGGTGTAAATGTTCGCTCTATGTTTGTTAGTTCTGTATCTGAATTTGAAATCATAAACATTATCAGAAATTTAAAAAATAAAAATAGCAGTGGTATTGATGAAATACCCAATACCATCATTAAATATTGTGTTTTTGAATTGTGTGAGCCTTTGTTGTATATTTTGAATAATTCATTAAAATCTGGTATTTTTCCAAGTCAACTGAAAGTAGCTGTAGTTAACCCATTGTTTAAAAAAGGTGATCCAACACTGATGAATAATTATAGACCAATTAGTTTGCTTTCATCATTCTCTAAGATATTTGAAGCCTCTATGTGTACTAGGCTTTACGATTTTTTTATTTCAAACAAGCTTATAAATAATAATCAACATGGCTATATTAAAGGTAAATCTGTTGTTACTGCAGTGTACAGCTTTTTGCAGCGTATTTTTGACGATTACGAAAGAAAGTATCTGTCATTAGGACTTTTTATTGATTTATCCAAAGCATATGATTGCTTACAGCATGGAATACTTTTCGAAAAGTTAAGTCATTACGGAGTAAGGGGTTGTGCACTGCAGTGGATACAGTCATACTTAACGAATCGTTGCCAAATAGTAAGAATCTCTGAGAATGGTGTGGTACATCAGTCATCGCTAAAAAACGTCAGTATTGGAATTCCGCAAGGAAGTACAATAGGACCCTTATTATTTGTAATATTTGTAAATGATTTAGCAAATTCTGTGAAAAGTGTAAATCATGGGTTGATAAGCTTTGCAGATGATACAAATATATTGATAAGTGGAAAAACCTACCCAGATATTGTAACAGAGATTGGGGATGTAGAAGGTAGGGTAAGAGACTGGTTTGAAAGTAATAAGTTAATTGTAAATCAAGAAAAAACCGGCTGTATTTTATTTAAAAAGACCCAAGATCGAATGGAGACACCTCAGTATATTAATTTAAATAATAAAATAATAAATTTTTCACCGCAAACGAAGTTTTTGGGATTATACATTGATGAGATTTTGAATTGGTCCTATCAGATTGAACATCTATGTAAAAAATTAAATCAAGTCTCTTACTTTATCCGTGTATTAAGTACTTATGTTGAAAAAAATACATTAAAAACAGTGTATTTTGCTTGTTTTCAATCTTTGTTGCGATATGGAATAATATTTTGGGGACGTTGTACGACAGTTGAAAGAGTTTTTACCATTCAAAAAAGAATGGTGCGAGTATTATGTAATAAGAAATATAAAGACACATGTAGAGGACTTTTCAAATCAAACGAACTACTGACAGTTGCAGGAATTTATATTTATGAATTGCTAATTTTTATGTTTAAAAATAGAACCAAATTTGAGTACCTGAAATCTAAAAGTAGTAGATCTTTAGATTATATTTATCCGAGACATCGTTTAATGAGTTATGAAAAGTCTTGTTTTTATTCATGTATAAAATGTTTTAACAAATTACCTTATAGCATTAAGTCATTAAATACTTTTAGTCTTTTTAAAAAACGTGTTTTTGAATATTTGTTGTCAATTGAGCCGTACACTTTCAATGAGTTTTTACTTCATTAAATTATTTTCGCCCTTTTAATGTTATAATATAGGTAATTTATTATTTGTATTGTAATTTTTTTTGTTTAAATAGTGCTGAATTTGACATATATTTCTTTTAATTGTTGTAAATTTATATGTATTAAATGTATAACATTACTTTGAAATAAATATTATTATTATTATTATTATTATTATTATTATTATTAAATTAGAATAAAGTAAAGTTTATTCTCAAGTAAATTCACCTTTTTTGTTATTTGTTCAATACAAAATTTGTTTTAAATTTGTTTTTATAATATTATTTATCCTTTTTTGTAATAAAATTGGTTAGGATAATATGCTTTTTATTTTCTTTTTTTCTGTTTCTCGTAATTACTAGGGGATTCCATATAAGATTGGTTGTGTGTATATTTATCTTGCTTCGTAATTATATTTCCGTTTTTAAGGAATTAGTCGAATTTTTAATAAATTAATTTATTGTTTTTATGTATTTGTGCAAAAAATACAAAAGCTTGTTTTACACATTTAAGTGAAGATATGCTTTTTCAATTTCCTAAAAATGTAATGTTTTTTTTTATTTAAAAGTAAAAACATTAACTAAATCATAACCTCTGACAGAGTTACTCTGTAAATACAATAGGAGTATTTTGTATTTGACATATTATAATACGAGGGGTGTTCAGAAAATATCGGGAATTTTCGTTTTTTGAAACAAATATTTATTTATTCGTCTACCTTAATGTTGTCGCCTTCAAAATAGTGGATATTATGCACATGTGCCAGCTCTTCTTCCAATACTCGAAACACTTCTAAAACTCGATCTTTGAGATAGCCTTTAGTTCTTTCAGCGATGCGCTTTTAATGTCATCTATGCTTGCAAAACGACGGCCCTTTAAGGTTCTTTTTATTTTTGGGAATAGGAAAAAGTCAGACAGAGGCATGTCTGGCGAATATGGAGGATTTAACAATTTTGGATCAAATTTTGCTGCCACGCGTTTCATACCCAAAACATTTGAAAAATTTTCATGGGATGAGCCAATCGATATACCAACATCATCAGCGACTTCTCTGATGGTTTATAACCATTTCTTCCACTTTTTCCATGTTTTTATCGGTAATGTGCTTGTGCGTTCGGGGCGTTCGTCATCTTCAACGTCTTCACGGCCATCTTGAAAACTCTTATACCACTTGTAAACTCTTGTTTTACTTATTATATAGCAGACACAAAATTTATTTCATTTTTTAAGCAAAATTGGATACAAATTCTCTTTGATCTATTTCTTTTAACTAAACACACCTCGTTTAATAATTATTATTAATTCTTAGTTATTAGTAAGGTTTTAAAACAAATAAAATTAAACTATTTATGAAATAATTAAAATTGTTGCAACGCGTTGTCTGAGAGTTCAAGTTTTTGGGATTTTTCCCCAGATCTGTTGATTTTTTAATAATTGGGACATTCTTCTTTTTTACAGACAATGCGATTAATTTAAAGATTTGATAAAAATATGTCTACTATTTAATGAAATTTATTGTGAATTATTGCACAAACCATCGTAGATTCAAGAAACAAACTGTTAAGAATTAGTTACCTACTTGATTTTTTTTTTTAGAAATTTAGAGGTGTCCCTCAAAACACCTCTGCCACAAAAATGTTTTACTTTATTATTTGTCATTCAAAACAAAATTTTATTTTTTTATTTCAATGCAAAGTCGACACTTGTTTTTATTTAGCTTAATACGGTGGAATTCTTAGTAATACGTATTAGTACTAAGTTAGTATTATTGTGTATTATAAATATTGGATATATTATATTGTTATACAAAATTTTCAACAAAAAAAAACGTTAAACTAAGCAATACTAATTTATTTTTTTAAGGATGTAATTGTTAAAAAAATAACTATTTACATACTGGATAAATTCAATTATTCCCCACATTGAATTAATTTTAAAATTCTTTTAATGGAATTGTTTTTTACGCAATTTTTTTTATTTTAGTTTTTTAAAAAATAACGCTATCCATTAAAATTTCAATTTTGTGTAAATTTAAAATAGATGCTTGATAAAACATGAAATGCTCAAAAAGTGTTCAAAACTCTTTTTATCGCATCAGTTATGGGCGGCATGCTCGGCGGCATGAAACATGATACTTTTTTAATCGTAGGTATTCTGCCTTCATAAATTTGAAACATCGTATTGTAGATAAAATCAAAACGTATAGTTTATGGTTTATAATATTAAATATTTAATATTGCGTTATTTATTGTTATTTGGCTAATAAAATGTTAGGTACTTATTTAATATTTTATGATTTATTTTAATTCCAGGCGCACCTCTTTTACTAACATTTAAGATCATTATTACACCCATTTGCAAGTTTTAAGTGTTCCCACAATTGTTTTTATGTTTACCTATTAAATTGAACAAATTTAAATTTAAAATAACAATGTTAAATTAAGTAAACAACTATTTATAACATAAAAAAATTACAATACTACAAATATCTCCATAGCCAATTATACGAACGTAAATATCGGTTTAGGTTTAGTTTTCTCAAATTTTCACCAAAATGTTATTTTAAAAAAGTGGTCTTTGCTTAGGCCCTCTGAAAATAATAATAAAATAAGTTTGTTGCTTGGGCTTGTTCAGAATTATTTAAGGAGCATTCTTTCACCATTTTATCTTCTTGTTCCTAAAAAGACTGAGTGTATTGCCTACAAAAAAGCCTTAAATGTACTCTTTAAAAAAAAATCATATTTTCGTTGCTAAGATTCTAATTCGAAAAATTTGAAAAACTTTTTAAGGTAAGGCATAATACATCATTATTTCAAACTTTGAAATTCAAAGTAAAAACGAGAAAAAAATATTTTTGTTTACAAACGGGGCGTGGATGAACTTATTGAACTCAGACCAAAATAAAATAGTTCAAGAAACAAAAAAGTTATGTCGTTTGAAAAAAAAAACGAACCAAAAAGGTCGCGACACATTGAGTGGTGCGCAGTTTAGTTACCTAATCTGAACAAAATTTAAAAGCGACTGGTTATTTAAATATTTTTTCACTTAAAACATATACCTATGCATAATAATATTGCAAATAATTTGTCCTTAGGAGATTGATTAGAAAAATTTAAATTAAACTGTTATCTGATACCAATTCTTTAAATAAATTTATAAAAAAATATAACCATTGGACAACATTTTTAGAGATCAATAAATAAAATTTAATGATTGTTTAGCATTTCATATTTTAGTAAACATGCATAATATTATGATGTAATTAAAGAATATAAGCAACTTAGTATTTGTTTAATTAGTTTTGTATTATGCTTTATTTATTCTTAAAAAATATGGGTTATTTCATGCCAAATCGACCAATTGTTATTAATTCTTCAAAAATATGTAATTTTTATACCAAATCGACCAATTAGCTGTCCTTTGACTTTTTATGTAAAATTTAAATAATAGGTAATGTGAGAAGTTTTATAAACGCAGGGTCGTGAGATTTTAATAAACGAGTGCCTAATTATTAACTTGATCCATAATATACTATTAAGCCTTAATAGTATATTATGTACCTATCAAGTTTAATCAACGCCATTTTAGTCACAAATTTTAATTAGGCACAAGTAGGGTTGGGACAGTTGAAATTTTCAAATGAAAATTTCAACTTTGAAAGTTTCAAACTTGAAATATTTCATTTAGTTGGAAAAGTGAAATTTTTAAAAATTTCAAATGAAATTTTCAATCCGAAAATTTCAACATTGCCTGTGAAATTTTCAGAAATTTTATTGAAAGTTTCGCAATTTACTGAAAATTTCGCATAAATTTTACATGGGACCTTTAATAATAATTTACAACAGATTCCGAATCGACCAATAAAAACTAGTTATCAAGCGCCTGGGCGTTTTTGTTTAGTTCGGCTTGGATTTGAATACACTATAAGTAATTATTGTTTTTTATATGCATAAATTAATTTAAATAATTTAATTCAGTTACCAATTTAATTTGTAAATTAAATCAGACTTTAAATTTTTTTTTAAAGTCATGATTAATTTAAACTTTTACTTTTGCTATATCGGAAAACGGATAAAAATGCCTTTGGCTCATAAAATTTTGATGAAGTTTCTTCAATTTTCGTAAAATTTCAGTAAAATATTTAAAAATAATAAATATTTATAAATATAAAACAATGAAAGTGGCACAATCTCATTAGCTTACCAAAAAGTGCTATATCTCTTTTAGTTTTAGTAATTTTAAAAATATTTTAAAAGGTCTCAAGAAATTTGTGGTAAACATAGGTATTTACTATAGTAGCCCCTGCACCAATAATATAAATATATTTATATTATTGGTGCAGCGGCCCACAGAGGGGTAGGAGGTAAGAGAGGCAATTTGCCATGGTCCCCGAGTGGGCTTATTTCAATATTAATATATAACACTTAAAGTGATTGAAATTTATTGTAAATTTCAATAAATTTCATGAAATTTCATGAAATTTCAGAAATTTAGGAAATGTTAATAAATTTCATAAATGTCATGAAAATTTCAAGTGAAATTTCAAGTACAAGCAAAAAGTGAAATTTTCCCAACCCTAGGCACAACTGAGCTTGCTAGCAAGTGTTGCTAGAAAACTTGCATGCTATACTTTTTCTACGACATCTATAAAACAATATATACTCGTATAGATTAACATTTTTGGGAACATGTATTCCCGGGGCACCGGTACAAATGTAGTGATGTTTTTTGGGTAAAAAGTGACAGGTCTGTGTAAAAAGAAAGTTAGATTGGTTAGTGAGGTTAAAACCGCTTTACAGTTGTCACATGTCAGGTAAAACAAATAACTAAAATACCTACACTGTTATGTTGCAAACTTCAGCCCGTGTATTATTTTTTTATTTTTAAGCGTTCTATAATTTAAACGTAATTATTGCCAACACTCAGTGTTGAACACTTACTACTAAAGTGATTAATTTATCGCTTAGGCTATAAAAATAATTTAGACCATTTGGGTAGTTTTTTAAATCCTGGTCCGATAACCGTCAGATCTACATAAACTCACTTTAATAATTATAATTATTACTATAATTGTGCGTTTTATGTAAAGTTTAAGAAATGAAATTGTGCCTTAAAGATTAAAATTTTAATGTTGTATGCTGATAAGTGTCTTTTTGTGCTTGTCTCAAACTTTGAGCTGAGCACAAAAATACTCGCTTTTTAGCCTAATAACATAAATAGTAGGTATTATTTAAATTTAAAAAGAGTGACTATTTTAAATAACCAAACAGGTTAACACCTATTTGGTAGGCGTTAGTTTATTAGGACCTCTTTAGGTCACAGTGTTCCTGAACGACCTGTAGGTTTTATAAAAATGACGACAAAAACTGACCACGTAGATTGTCTCGTCTTTACGTCTAGAATAAAAAATCTTAATAAACAAAAATCGGATCAGCTCTTTTTTTCGAAATCTGCACAAATATTTCAATATTGAAGATGAGCGCCAGGCGCGCGAGAGAGTGTACTTTTGTATGTATGTGTGTATGTATACATATATATATATACCAAAATCAAATCAGGTCCTGATTATCAAGAGTTCTTCTGGATATAATGGATGCTCGATAAATTTAAATAAGCATTCACAGGATTATTTCTTACTGATTTTTTTATTAAATTTAAAATATTCCTATATCTTAACATAAAATATGCACGATTATAAAACCAACATCTTTTAAAAAATACATTTTTATTTTTTATATAATATTAGTACTATTAACTACTTAAAAAACTTAAAACACAATCTCAAAAACAAAATTATAAACTTTAATTATAACAATTCATATGTGACGAGATGAAAATTCCACGACAGCATTCTTTAACCTCAGGTGATTAGTCGGATCATTTAATAAATTAATTTTATATATATGCCAGAACTTGATGAATCGATTCACCTGCTTGTTCTGACCAAAGGCCCAGTCCACGTTTGCCTAAAAAATGCAAACATTGCTTAATATGGCTTAAAATAACGTGGACCTTAAGCGTTTCGGATAATTCCATTGCTTTGTAGACTGTTTTTAATTCTTTGATGTGTGAATCTAAATCCGGCCCTATAGGTTTTGCTGAAAAACAGCAATTAACCACTTTATTCATTGCCCTCAGAGCATTTATAAAAGGTACAATTCGTATTATTCCAATATCATTACAAATTTCTGGATCTGATAACTTAGCACTCTCTTTCAAAAGTTTTATGCAAGCATTACCTTCAAATATGTCACCATGGTAGTTTTTAGCAATAACTTTTAATTTTTTCGGCCATAAGAGAGCTTTCTCTTGACCAAGAAGAGGAACTAAGCCATCTCAAAAAATGTGATTGATAAAACCTTGTAAAATATGAAGTTCGGGAACAATGCACTTTTCAATCACGTACATGTTATCATCTTCGGCAAAAAGAGGCAGATTAACAGTACTGTGGCAATACTTAGCATTTTTCTTTTTTTTGTGCATCGAGGAAAAGGAATCGTAATCTTTTCTAATGTGTCCGTAAGTCTTTAGAGTTTCAAATCCACTGCATAGTTTTCCTTCATCTGCATCCGTCTCAATATTGTGCTCCCCACTATTATTTCCGCTCTCAGAATTTCTTAGATCGTTTAAAGTTATGAAGCAATAAGGACAAGGGCATGTTGACGTAGTTGTTTGTTGGCCGTTGACAATCAAAAGAAGTTTAAAGTCCGATACGAATTTAAACGGTATATTATTAATGTTAGTCAATTCAAAGAGTAGCTTCATATTATCATATGTTTCTTGAATGTCAGGTACAATGCACAGCATTATTAAGCGATGGACGCTTGTCAATTTTGCTTTGTGACCTGTACTGCCACCTTCCGAATAGAGTTTTCTTTTTTTTATAGGAGATTCAAAATTATCTTCTTCATCACTACTCTGATTATTCTGAGATTTATTAGATTCGGATATATAATTTTCTGGAAGGATAGTCATGCAAATCTTAAAGAATCCTTGGCCACCATCTGCCATAATTTTAATTTCGTAATTGCCAATAAGCTTACGTTGTTCACATACGGAATCTAACAACTCTTCTGCATCAGCCCAAATTACAGCTCTTATTTTTTTCAGTAACAAATTCAAACTCACCAGATTTATATACATTTTCTAAAGTTCTAGATTTTTTAGATACATGTGTTCGATAATCTATTGGTATAGATTTTTTTCCAGCATTACTTCGTATAAAATTTGGGTCAGAATTTCTCAAACGGGCCACCTGAATTAGGTCAAAATTAGTTTTTGATTGTAGATACATTTTTTCGATAGTATTTTACATCACTAACACAAATCCTAAAGGATTTTGTAAAAAAAAATTTTTCAATTGACATATTCATGATATTAAAAGTAAAAGTTTTTAGTAATTAAAAAATAAAAAAAAATCATTATGGCTAAACTAATTATCCGATTCCAACGATTTAACTAGCGTTGGAATCTTGTTTTGACATAGATTCTTTGTTATTTTTTTCAATTGTACAATTTTCATTTAGGTCGATTTTTTTTTGTTTTTTTTATAACAAATTCGGAAATAATTGGCTTCTGCGCCAGCTATCGACTCGAAAAAAAAAACACATATACTCCAATCATTTTTCGAAATTATGCTGCTGAGAAAAAAAATGGCCCGCAGGTTCCAGACCACCGTAAGACGTCGCGTCACAAGCGCGTACAGCGTACACGGTTCGGAGCGTGAGCTGACACCGCGCGCGGCCACAAAAGGACGAATAACTTTTTGTCAACCTGCGGGCCATTTTTTTTCTCAGCAGCATAATTTCGAGAAATGATTGGAGTATATGTGTTTTTTTTATCGAGTCGATAGCTGGCGCAAAAGGCAATTATTTCCGAATTTGGTATAAAAAAAACAAAAAAAAATCGACCTAAATGAAAATAGGACAATTGAAAAAAATAACAAAGAATCTATGTCAAAACAAGATTCCAACGCTAGTTATATCGTTGGAATCGGATAATTAGTTCAGCCATAATGAATTTTTTTATTTTTTAATTATTAAAAACTTTGACTTTTAATATCATGAATATGTCAATTGAAAATTTTTTTTTTACAAAATCCTTTAGGATTTGTGTTAGTGATGTAAAATACTATCAAAAAAATGTATCTACAAACAAAAACTAATTTTGACCTAATTCAGGTGGCCCGTTTGAGAAATTCTGACCCATTTGTAAGTTTTCTCATATGATTTGCTGAGGTTCCAGTACTCGTTTGAAAATTGTCTAAACTTTCAGGTGAAAAACGTACTTGTTTTTCAATATGCTTACTGAAAACGATGTTTTGGCTTCTACCCGTAGTATTAATTTTAGTTCAATATTTTTCTTACTTGATATTTGTAAGTTTTCTTTCAAGATGGAATGCGCTATTTGCATTTTCTGTTTTTCAGGAAGTTTTTTTACTAGTAGCGAATATTCTTCGAAGCTAAAACGTTCACGTTGCTAATATTAGGCCTAATAGGACGTCTACATAAATGTTGCTTTCCCTTATGGAGTTCTTCAAAACAGTTTTTGCATAATTTTATTGCATTATTTACTCTGTTTTCAATCTTTGTAATTTTTGAATATTCACCATTACTTGAATCAGCTGCATATATTCCATTAGATACTTCGATTTTATTACAAATACTTTGACGCTTGTGACTCCTACCTTTGTGAACTTTTGTGTGGCCGATGGATCTGGCTATTAAACAAATGTAACAATAGCATATTTGTGGACTGATCTCAGAACCTCTTGTAACTTTTATTAGTTGAATGTCTTCATAATTAGGCATCCCCGGAAAAATTAGAATTTATATAAGTTTTGATCAGATCAACGTGCTTTTCATTTAAATGGAAAAAATCTACTTTTTTCTTCCAAAAAACAATCTTCTTTCCGCATGGAGCACAAACTTTTTGCCGATTTTCTTCGTGATTTAAGTAATGAGACATCTTGGCACAAGTGCGTCTAATAAAACTTGACAACTGAATTATTAAATATCAAAATGAAGAATATAGTATTTAATATCCTTGGTTACTATATACACACACACAAGCATACAAATACATGCACCTTTTCGCGCACCTGGCGTTCATCTTCAATTTTGAGATATTCATGCAGATATTTCGAAAAAAAGAGCTGATATGATTTCAGTTTATTAAGATTTTTTATTCTATACGTGAAGACGAGCCAATCAGTTTTTGTCGTCATTTTTATAAAACCTACAGCTCGTTCAGGAACAATGTGAGGTTAAATTGAAGCCTAATAATATTTACAAATACATAAATAGTAAAATAAAACAATAATAATAACATAAACATCCTAACAATTTTATGACGTAAATATTTATAAATTTTAAAATTGTGGCTAAAGGCTACACCATTTTATTGCCATGTTATTTTAATACTAATAATTAAAATAAAACTGAATAAATGCATTAATATTATGCATTCAACATACAATGTATATAATTATGATGAGTTTACTGCGTTTAATCATAAAATGTTAAAAATCATATAATTAATAGTTTGGGACAATTAAATGTAACAAACAAAGAAAATCAATTAATTATAAAAACATGATTGATTGGTGTCATATATTGAACATGCACATTTCTATGTTTGTTCTCCCTGATAGATAATGCCTACATAACGTTACATTTTTTAATGCAAATGTTTATTACGTAAAGACCGAATGGATTTTTTGTTTAGTTGTGTAGGCTAAAACTTCATCTAAACAATTTATGCTACAATTTTAAAACCCATTACAAATGCTTTTTATCTTAACATTGATCAAATTGTATTGTTCTATTTTTACGAAATCTTGATTTATTTCCTTGCTAAAATAAATCAAATGCTTGTAAATTCAATGTTTATTGGCCGGTTATTCTAAATTTACGCAGTTAAATAAAACCACATTGTACCAAAAACTTGCAGATTGTTTGTTCGCAATAAAAATATAGTAATATCCCAATTTAATTTGAGTTCAAATTTTAAACCAATAAACTTTCTGGTGTTCTATATCATTTTAAAACACTAATGGGTTTTTAAATTGAAAAACAACATATTTTCATATTTATTTTGCAATTTTTTTAATTATGAGTTTTAAGGAGGTTCAGGCACGATATAAGATTGATCGTCTGGTTTCCAAGTAAAAAATTAATTAAAGATGCTAAGACTATTTCTAAACTGTGTTGTGAATGTTGACAAAAAATTATATGTCAATTCTACATGTATAAGTGCATACGACAAAAAAATTATCGATTTATCATTGTCATGTTATAAGATATGAGTTCATTAAATACATATTCTATAAAGTCCATGTCTTTAATTAATGTATATAATAATATATATACAGTGTGTCCCTGGATGGAGTTACCTATAAGAAAAACTTTTTTATTATGCGTTTTACGGAAAAAAGTAATTTTTCATAAAAAGTCCTGCTTGTTTAAAAAATGAGAGTGCGATTTAAAAAAAAAACCGATTCATTGTACAGGGTGTTCAGAAATTAATAAAATATGTAAATGCTCAATAGAGAAGTACCTTTATTTATAACTTTATACAAACATTTTATAAGAGAAAGTCGTCGCAAATTTAATTTAAAGTCTAAATATAAAATATAATTTTTTTTTAATATTTATTCGATATGACCCCCTCCAATGTTAACACATTTTTACTTTTTTATTATGCGTTTTAGGACAAAAGTAATTCTTTATAAAAAGTCTTGCTTCTTTAAAAAATGAGATTGCGATTTAAAAAAAAACTATTTCATTGTAGATGGTGTCCAGAAATTAAAAAAAAAAAATGCTCAAGAGAGAAGTAGATTGGTTAGCGAACTTTTCACTTGGACCTTAATAAAGTTTGGTGAAAAATCTTCGACAGAATCACATACTTACATCCAGACAATGAAAAAACATGGGTCCCTTCAAACTGGTTGGTTATAACTATAGTTTTTGTATTCCCCTTTCCATTTTTTTATATTATTTAATTTTAATATAAATTATTTTTAATTAAGGGTTAAGTGCCTAAAAGCCCTGTCTATACTATAGACTATAGTTGTTATAATTTAAATCATTTTCAGAATTCGTTATCCATTAAATCTTAAGTGTTGTCTTTTATAATTGCCGCAATAATCAAATTAAAGCCAACAATTAACCTTATCTTGATGTGTTCGATTATTAAAATTAATGTACCTTTGCTTTAATAAAACGCAGTAAATTAAATCTAAGATGCCGATTATAGATTGGCACTACTGGTATACAATAGTTTTTAATCGAATAAAGCCTAATTTATAGATAAATTATTAATAAAAAAAACCCTAAAGCCAAAGGATATTATAAAAAATCAATTTAATTTAATGAAACAATTAATTTTTTAATGTTTTACTTGTTTTTTTAATTAAACTTATTAAAGACCAAATTTACTGTTTCAATGGCTTTAAAACAAAAGTCGACAAAGAGGTCTTTGTAATATTAAAGAAATTACATTTGTACTTGGTAAAAGAATGTTTGATAAAATAGCAACTTGTAAAAAGGTTTTAAAACTGTTAATACTATTAACACTTTTCCTAAAACAATAGCAAAGCGCTAAAAACATAACCCAATATTAACTTTTTTTATTCTAGTGTTGTAAAGTAAAAATATAGGGTCCAATTTTTTTGTATATAAATCACAATACAATTCATTAATTTTAGAAATAATAAAATGCCAGAATTCCATAGTTACGCATTTTATAACAGCAAGAATATTTTTTATCACCTGTTTACACGTTACTATGGATTTTGATGCGTTTCTTGATTTAACATTTGTAAACCTGTGTTTGTTATATGATTAAAATAATTAATTTTAATACTAATACTAGGTATTTTAAGGGCTACATCAACAGGAACCGGAAGGTGGTCGGAATCGAGTTCGTGGAGCACTTCGACATTACCCTATCTTTTGTGGTCAATTGACTGGTCCATTTACCGGTCAAATTCCTTAGTTTCTTCTAAAGAAATGAAGGCATGAGTAACATTACTAAATTTTAAATAGAAACGTATATTTATTGAAAAACAGATAATAAAAAATATAGAAACCATTCTGGGGTACAAAAAATACAAAATATTTTAATAACATTCATAATATCAC